AAAAGGAAGCCACAGATGGGGAAAAATATTTGGTAATGACATGTCTGATAAGGGACTTATATCTAGAATTTATAAAATACTTGAGCATACAACAAGATAAATGTAAACAACCCAATTGAAAAATGGGCACAGGATATGAACAGATACTTCACCAAAGAAGACATTCAGATGGCAAACAAACACATGAAGAAATGTTAAAATTCCCTAGCTCCAAGAGAGATGCAAATCAAAACAGCTGAGGTATCATCTCACCCCAGTAAGAAAAGCAAAATTTAACAGAACAGCAAACCACAAATGCTGGTGAGGCTGTGGAGAAACTGGAACCCTTATTTACTGTTGATGAGAGTGTAAAATGGTGCAACCACTATGAAAGGCAGTATGGCACTTTCTCAAAAAGTTGCAAATAGAAATACCATTTGACCCAGTAATTCTACTGCTGGGATTATACCCTAAAGAAATCATAACTGCCACCCAAGCAGATATATGCACACCCATGTTTATTGTGGCTTTGTTCACAATATCAAAGAGATGGAAACAACCCAGGTGCCCATTAACAAATGAATGGATAGAGAAGCTGTGGTATGTTAACACAATGGAATACTATGCTGCATTGAAAAATAAGGAACTAATGAAATATTATACAAAATGGGTGACCTTGGAGGACATTATGCTGAGTGAAATATCTCAGTCACAAAAGGGCAAATACTGCATAGTGCCATTGTTGTAAAGCAGGTCTGACATTGGAATTGGGGGGAAACTAAGAGAGGATACATAATGTATACTGCATTAAAACAGATGAGGGAGAGAACTGTTTGGGAGGAATATTTGATTAGGTATTATTGTCATGACAAGAATCCAGAATGAAAGCTACACAGTGAAGTGGACTGGGGGCTGGGGATTGTATAGCAATGAAAGAATTTTTTTTCTACTTTTCAAAGAGAAAAGTGAACTGAGGGGGAGGGGTGGGCAGGGAAGAAAGTGCAACAATGAGTGAATGGAAATCCAAAGTCTCTGTAAACTTTCATTAAAATTTAAAAAAAATTTAAAAAAATGGAAGTTAAAAAGAAAAAGGACAGAGGATGAAGAAAAGACCAAGGTGGATGTCAGAAGATACTCTGAATATTGCACTAGAGCACCGAGGAGCTAAAGTACAGGGAAGAAATCAAGAAACTAAGGAACTGAACAGGTGATTGATTTCAAAGGGCAGCTTGGGAAGACAAAACAAAGTATTCTAATGAAACGTGCAAAGAGGTGGAGTCAGAAAATCAAAAGGGCTGAACTCGCTCAGTATTTTTTAAGCTTAAAGGAACTCAAGAACAAATTCAAGCTTTGAGTTGCAATACTTAAGGATGCTATGTGCAGAATACTAAATGATCCAGGAAGTGTTAAAAGAAGATGGAAGAAGTATACAGAATTACTGTACCAAAAGAAATTGGCTGACACAGAAGAATTGCTTGAAACAACATATAAGCAAGAGCCTGTGGTGATGAAGGAAGAAGTTCAAGTTACTCTGAAGGAATTGGCAAAAAACAAGGCTCCAGAAATTGATGACATATCTGTTGACATATTTTAACAAACAGACTCTGCCCTGAGTGTACTCACCAGGTCATGCCAAGAAATCTGGAGGACAACCACCTGGCCAACTGGAAAAGATCTATATTTGTTCCCATTCCAAAATAAGGTGACCCAACAGAGTACAGAAGTTATTGAACAATATCATTAATATCACATGCAAACAAGATTCTGCTGAAAATTATCCAAAACCGACTGGAACAGCACATCAACAGAGAACTACCAGATGTGCAGCCTGGATTTAGAAGGGGTCATGGTAGTAGGGATATTATAGTTAATATTAGATGGAGCTTGGCTGAAAGCAGAGAGTACCAGAGGAATGTCTATCTGTGTTTCATTGACTATGCAAAGGCATTTGACTGTGTGGATCACAACAAACTGACTAACTCTGAGAAGAATTAGGAATCTTAGAACACTTGATTGTGGTTATTGGAAACCTGTACTTGGTAGAACAGAGCAAGGAAACACTGAATGGTTCAAAATCGGGAAGGGAGTATGCCAGGGATGTGTCCTGTTCCCATATCTTTTCAATCTATATGCAGAACAGATCATCTGGGAGGCTGGGTGCTATAAGGAGGAATGTGGCTTCAGGATTAGAGGAAGACTCATCAACAACCTATTATGCAGATGACACACCTTGATTGTTGAAACTGAGGTGTACCTGAAGAGCTTGCTGCAGAAGGTCAAGGACTGCAGCCATAAATATGAACTGAAGCTCAATATCAAGAAAACAAAGATTCTCACCATTGGGCCAATTGCCAGCATCATGATAGCCAGTGAAGAGATTGAGATTGTTAACAGTTTCAGTTTGCTTGGCTCCACAATCAACAGTCTTGGTACCAGCAGCCAGAAAAATCAAAAGATGAATTGCATTGGGAAAAATCTGCTGTCAGGGACTTTTCCAGAGTACTGAGAAGAAACAATGCCAGTCTGGAGACTAGGGTGTGCCTGACTAGGGTGTAATTATTTGACTGTGTGTCAGAGAGCTGGACAATGACTAGGGATGATAGAAGGAGAATTGATGCCTTTGAGCTGTGGTGCTGGAGAACAGTGTTGAACATACCATGGACTGCTAGGAGAGCAAACAGCGGTGAATCCAGGCTGCTCCTTGGAGGCAAGGATTTTGAAGCTCTGTCTGACACTGGGCATGTTGCAAGAAGGGACCAGTCCTTGGATAGGATGAAGGGACAGTGCAAGAGAGGAAGACCCAGGATGAGATGAATTGACTCAGTGACTGGGGTAATGGGGGTAGGTGTGTCACAGACAATAAGATTGGCTCAAGATAGAGCAGGGTTCAGAGCTGATGTACATGAGGTCGCAGTGAGAAGCAAGTGAGTCAATGGCATACAACAACAGCAACAACTTTTTGCTTTCAGTCAGGATCCATCAGACATTGGCAATTATGTCCTGAGTGCCACAGCCTCAGCTTGCACTTCTGGCAGTTCTCCCTCAATAAACTGTTCCAGTCGTTTTTGAATAATGGTCAGTAGGATTTTGCTTGGAAAGGTGGCCAGTTAGCAAAAGAGGGGAAGACCCTCAACCAGATGGATTGTCACAGTGACTACAGCAGTGGGCCTGAAGTGTGTGTCGGAGATTGTGGGGATGGCATGGGATAGGACAGGGTTCAGATCTTTTGTTCATAGGGTTGCTATGAGTTGTACTCAACAATAGTTAGAAATTAATCAAAGAGCAGTTTCCCTGGTCTGAGGTCTCTCTCTCCAGACCCAGGAATCCCACCCAGGAGTCCCCTTAATAAAAAAAAAAAGAAGAAATTAATCAAAAGACACTCAGAGACCATGTACACACCTTGCCTCTCATCAGACTCTGACCCACAAGTGTAGTGTCCATTGGTGATCTTTGCCGCTCTGATCAGTTGGAGTGTCACTTCCCAAATTCTGTCTGCATTTATTATTGGACATTCCAGATGAGATGGGAGTTTTGTCTTCATCCCTTTTATTTCTCTTCCATGTCCTGTGACCCTCTTTTTTGCTCAGTGAGTTGGTGGACTTGTTGCTGTCACTACTTGTTTTGCTGTAATATTGTCCCACACTGACTGACGACAACCCCTTCGTGCCGGCCTCTGAGTCCTTTTCACACGTCCCCGTGATTCTTGGAGCACATCCTTCCTTTCTGGTATAACAGGTTACAGACTCATAAGACCTTTCCCTGCAGCAGTCCCTGGATTCAGCCATGTAGCCAAGGTTCCCCTAAGTGGAGAATGGATTGAGAAACCAAGACCTGGGTGTTGGATATACTTATTATCATTTATTTAATTCCCTTCAGTGGAGAGAGCAAAAAAACCCACTTGTTTGTAGGCGATACATGTGTACCTAGTGCTATGTTTACTCACTTCTGTTAGTGAGGGACTTAGCGCTCAGTATCTCCACTGTATTTACTTCCTTGTTCCGATATGAACCATCTGCCGATCACACTGAGCAAACTCCTTTGGCACTAGTTAGGTATATATGTGTTTAAGACCTCTGTGGTGATGTTTTGAGGAGACGTGGTACACGATGCCACCTTGAACCACAATGCCTGTCCTGACACCAACTGGAGGTGTTGTCTCCACAGGTCACCTTCCGGGTGGGCAGTGGCAAGCCCCTGGCCATGCTCTGCCTGGACGTGGAGCCCCAGCCCCACGTGGTAGACCAGGTCTTCCGCTTCTACCACCCAGAGCTCACCTTCCTGAAGAAGTCCATCCGCCTGCCCCCATGGCACCGCCTTCCAGGCAAGTCCACGCTCCCCCAGGGTGACAGGCGGCAGGACGCTAACTTGGGATGCATGCCAGTGGGTTCCTGGGGAACACCTATCCTGTTTGAAGTGGCACTTTTCTCCTCTACCCCTCAGGACGGTTCTAATTTGTTGCTGTCATGACTTATTTTGCTCTTGTATCATGTTAGATTGGATGGATCTATCCTCCTAAAACCTGTAGTGTCTGGGCACACTTCTTGGCATACATGGGCATATGGGGCAGGAGGCTTGTGTGATGCCCTAGCCTGTAGGCTAGTGATTCACTTAGTTTTTGGCATTGTCTTCAGAGTTGGGTTCCTGCTAGATGGGACCCTGCTTTTTGGTCACTTTTCAGCTCCTCTGAGGAGATGGTTAAAGGTGGGCCAAGCTGGAGTGGAAGTGGCCACAGCGCCCCTGCAGCTATAAACGGATACACACACTGGTCCATGGATGCACCTCCTCCTTCTCCTGGGCATCCGTGTCGGACAGTGGTGTCTGTCCAGCGTCCGTTTCACTGCAGACACCCTTTCACTGCAGAGCCCTGCTGTCATAGCAGGTCCACCCTGGATGGCGACCGAGACGTGACATGCTGCAGGGCTGTGTGCTGTCTGGGCCGCTTCAGAAGACCTGTGTGTGTTCTGATGTTTATCCTCCTCCAGGGGCCCCTGTCGGAACACCCAGTGAAGAGCTCCCTATCCACGTCCGGTGCAGTGACCCCAACGTCATCTGTGAGACCCAGAATGTGGTATGTCTGCTCTGCCCTTGGTCTAGGGGTGCACCTCTCAGCGGGGGCTCCCTCTCATGCCCCTGTCACCACGCCCGTCTTCTAACACCCTCCTTCTCTGGGCTGTCCGCTCTCCCTGGGGTGCCGAGGGCTGTGCAGATGTCCTTGTGAGGGTTTTGTGGAAAAGGTTTCATTTTTCTTTTCTGCTAGCAGATCAGCTCCTTAATTATCTGAATTTAAATTTTTTTTTAAAATGTATGAAGCAAAGGGAATAGAGTGGATGGTAATTAAGGCTTTTATTAATTGCCGTTGTGTAGAGGATAAAGGCAATAATTATATTAGGACTGGTTAGGAAATGGGATAAAATATCCTATTGAAAATAATCATCAAAATCAATATAAAATTAAGAAGATAATATTTTCTCTTTTGCAATGAAAAAGAAACCGGTAGATTCTGACAAATACAGAAATGAGTCTGTTGGGGTGGGGGGAGACTGGACCCCTACTCTTGCTCTGTACAAATCTAGATGCTGGGAAGGTGGGGCTTGCCATGTCACAGGTGGATGAATTATCTGTTGGCAGGGCCCCGGGGAGCCCCGAGACGTGTTCCTGAAGGTGGCCAGTGGGCCGAGCCCAGAGATAAAGGACTTCTTTGTCACCATCTATGCGTGAGTACCGGCCCCTGGCTGTGTGTGGATGGTAAGAGAAGTGGTCAAGAGGCAGGCGGAACTGGTGGGTGATGTCACTTAGGATGCGAGGTTCTCTGTGCTCTGGGCAGTATAGATGACCTGGCTGGTGGCAGGTGCAAGGTGACCACTCTTCAGGGACACATTGAGTCCCCCAGCCTGACACTCGAGAAGCCAGGGCCCAAGGATAGAGTGTGGCAGCTGCCCCTAGTCACCTCGTGACTCTCCTGCTGGGCATTGAAGGCTTTTTTTGGGGTCGTGGGTCTGGCAGCACTTCAGAAGCAGGTTCAGGGCCGCTGGTAGCACCCGGAGTCCTGTGTCCGCTCCCACCTCTCTTCCAGGCCAGATCATCCTTCCTCGTGTGCAGTCTGGGGGCTTTGCTTGTGGTCCCTGCTCTGGGATGTGAGTTTTCCAGGTGTGGCTTTGGGGAAAGACCCTTGTGTTCTGTTGTGCACACACGTTCTTGAATGCCCACCAGGAGCTCTGGTGCAGAGTGGAGTGGCATGTAGGCCACAGGCACCCTGGAAGGTTCCCATTTAGGTGAGAGGCAGGCAGGGCCACCTTGCGTCCTCCTGGAAGTTCCCATTCCTATTAATCCAGCGTCCGTGGACAGGCCTAACTTCTGCCTCTGCCACTGCTCAGCTCGTTGGGGTCTGCTTGTTACTGCTGGGGTTGTGTCCTTCATGACAGGCTCCTGTATTGAGTGGGCACAGACCCTCCACCCACTGCTCTCCAGAGCTCCCCCTTTCCCAGGGCTCCGATTCCCCAGGGATCCCCCCAGATCCTCGTCCTTGGGCAAATACAGAGTCCTCTGTCCTACCACAGGGACCGTTGGCTGACGGCGCCCATCCAGATCTGGCATATCCACCTTCACTCCCTGCAGCGTGTGGATGTCTCCTGCATCACAGGCCAGCTCACTCGCCTGTCCCTGGTCCTTCGGGGGACACAGACAGTTAGGAAAGTGAGAGCCTTCACGTCACATCCTCAGGAGCTCAAGGTATGACCCGGTTGGGGGCCACTGGGCTGACTGCACCACCCCTCCTGGGCCTTTGACACAACTCCATTGGTCCTGGTGAAGCCCTCTCACAAGATCTTTCATAATGAATTCTGTGGGTTTTACTTAACCAGCCTTCACCAAAATCACCTTTTAGAAATATGTCATTCATAGGATGATTGGATTAAACTCCAAAGGCAAACCTTTACAGTTACATGACTGTTACAAGCTATATATTAATGGTAACTGGGGAATGAATGTGGCCATTATTATGCATCTCGGGCCCCTTGGTGGCACACACGGTTAATGCACTTGACTGTTAACAGAAAGCTTGGAGATTCTTGGAAAGCACCTTAGAAGAAAGGCCTGCTGGTCTCCTTCTGAATGTCACGGAGCACAGGTCTGCTTTGAGATGTCCAGGGCTCTGCGAGTCAGCCTGCTCAGTGAGAATTAAGCTTTTAGTTTTGATTTAATGCTGCATCTAGCTGGTGACAGAGGTCATGTGCCAGAGGTCCATGTTTAATGTCGAAGGTTGTCTGAGCTCCAGGGCCAATCCCACTTGGACACTGAGGTGCCGCAGTGCTGCCAGAGGCTGACGTTCTCTGCTCAGACTTCCTCCCTGGCTGCTCCTGATGCTTGTGGGATCTTCCCACGCATGCTCAGTGCTGCCCTGAGCCCACCCCTCAGGCAGACCCCCGAGTCCCTACTCCAGGGCTTCATATCTCTTCCCACCATATGGCCGTCGGATTCCCCTCCATCCTCAAACTCTTTATTTCCTGATGTAGGAGGGTGCACCTCTGACTTTGTTCTCTCCTGTGTTTTTGGAGACGGACCCCAAAGGGGTCTTCACGCTCCCCCCTCACGGCGTGCAGGACCTCCATGTGGGTGTGCGGCCCCGCCGAGCTGGCAGCAGGTTCATTCACCTCAACCTCGTCGATGTGGACTTCCACCAGCTGGTGGCTTCCTGGCTCATCTGCCTCTCGTGCCGCCAGCCTCTCATTTCCAAGGTCAGTGCTGATGTGTGGAGGCCGCCTGGACAGGTGCCTTGCTTCCCGGCACTGGTGGGCTCCGGCCTCAGCATGATCCGGATGATGGGGTGTCACCTCTAGTCCCAGGGATGAGGATCTTCTGTGTGAGACTGTGTAAGGCTGAGGGGTTCAGTTCATTCCCATCTGGGCCTGCCCTGGCCAGAGTCCCGAGTGTGTCTGTGTCTGTGTCAGTCACTGTCCTTCCCCAGCCTGTGGGCCATGCAGGTGCAGAGCCTGATCGGGAAGCACTTGGAGAAGACATGAGTGGCTGGTGTCCCAGCTCTGCTGACAGTGTCCCTGCCTTTGTTCCCTGCTCAGGCCTTTGAGATCACGTTGGCTTCGAGTGAAGGGAAGGGGGCCAATAAGCGGATCACCTACACCAACCCCTACCCATCCCGGAGGGTGTACCACCTGCACAGCACCCATCCTGACCTGCTGCAGTTCAAGGAGGACACCTTCGAGGTGCGAGGGGCATGCATAGGGCACTCTGGGTACTGAGGGGAGGGAGACTCCATGGGTCCTGTTGCTCCTGGAGCCTGGATGCATCCTAGAGCTCAGTGATGATACTGCAGGGAGGAGCAGTCCAGATAATACAGGACAGGCTTCAAGAGAGTCCTTGGATCATGGAAAGTGGCATTCTGTACTTGCAGTTAAGTCCTTAAAGGGCACTGAAGTGTGAGATCTTCTGAAACCCACTTTGCTGGGCATGTTTCAGGGAAGGGCGCTCGCCGCACTTTATTCCCAGTGATTCCTGGCCACCTTATGCAGGGCTTTCCCAAAGACCACTCTCCATACAAACTGGACTTCCATAACTGTCCACCATAAATATTGTATGGAAAGTACAGCCGAGTGCATACTGTTACTTGATAGAAAGTATCCGTTACAGCTTCTTCTGTGTCTGTGAGCCAGCCATTTGTGCCTAGGGATTTTACAGTAGTATTGAAAAGGTGTCTAGGAACATAAGCGGACACTCAGGTCCATCTGGCATGTCACTGGTCCGAGCCTGCTCTCTGCGAATATGAATCCAGTCCCTGAGGCCCCTGGGTCAGCTCCTGGTTCTGATCCTCTGCAGGTGCTGGGAGCGGAGGTGTCCTGTTTAGGGCCAGTGAGCTGGTTCTGACTCAGCGCAACCCCATGTGCGCAACAGAACGGAACACTGCCTGGTGCCCAGCCGTCTTCACAAGGTGTAGTCACCCTGGCTGCCTTGATGAGAGACTTCATTTTCCACTTAATAGTGACCTTGGCTGTGTACCTCAGACATCAGAGCCAAAAGCCTAACCTGCGGTAACCACCTGTAGGACAGAGGACAGCTGCCCTGTGTAATGCCTTTGCCTTCCAAGGTTGGGGAAGAACGTTGGCTAGCCCATGCGCTGCCAGAACGAACGTGTCTTAGAAGGGCAGCCTGGATGCTCCTTAGAAGCAAGGCTGATGAGGCTTTGTCTCATAGACTCTGAATATGAGATATTCAGACTGACCTCTGAAGGTCCTCTTGCTTTGGTAAAATCGGTGAAGTCAGTGGAAAAGGGGCTGTGAAGATGGGACAGGTTTTGTTCTGTTGTTTTCAGGGTCCTATGAGTTGGAGTTGGGATGACTTGGTGACAACAATGATAACAAATCTGGGTGGGAGCAAACTTACCTCATCTTTCTGTAGAGCAGCCGGTGGTTTTGAACTGCTGCCCTTTTGGCTGGCAGCCTAGTGCTTAACCTACAGCACCACCAGGGCTCCTGCTGCATCCAGAGAGACTTAAAATTCTTCATCCACCCACATGACCCGGTGCCTGGTGAAAGAGGTGTCAGCAGGCTAGGAAGGAAAGTGGGGCAGGCGCGTTGTTGGCCTCTGTGATTCTGTCTCCAGGTCAGCGGCGTCCTCATGGTGGTGCCGGTAGTGAAGCCATCAACCTAGTGGCTGGCAGTTTGAACCCATCTGGGGGTATCTTGAGAAGAAAGCCCTGGTTCTTAAAATGCAGCCCGTGAAAGCCTGATGGTGACACACAGGGGTCACCTGGGGTCAGGGTTGACACAGGTTGTTGTCCACTTGACTACAGTTGATGTGATTTGTCTTTTCCCAGGTCGGAGGAGGAGAAACCTACACCATCGGTCTACGGTTTGCCCCAAGTCAGAGGCCAGGGGAGGAGGAGATTCTGATCTACATCAATGACCATGAAGACAAAAATGAAGAGACATTTTGTGTGAAGGTCATCTACCAGTAAAGGATGCCTGCAGTGGACATGCGGACATGCCTGCCCGGGAGGCCTACTCACCGCTCAGGGAATGTCTCGCCTTCTAGCTGTGGCTGCCTGCCACCTCCTTCCTTCTGCGGCATTGGACTGTGGGTGATCCTGGGTGACCTGTGACCTTAGCCATGAGCTGGAGAGGCCACTGTGTCCTGGCTGTGTGGCCCAGCACCACACTCACAGAGCAAGGCCCAGACCTTGGCCTGCATGCAAGGTCCCTTCACTGTGCTGCAGGCTGACATCCCTTCAACAAAATCATTTGGTTTGCCTTCAACAAAATGATTTCATGATTTTAATGGAACACATCTTATAAATCATCTTAAATTATAAAATAATGTTTTTCTTACAGCATTTTATACAGATAAAATATATTATTTGATATGCAGTGTTTATATGCCTCATTTCAGACCTGCTTTTTAAGTTCAACCAGACACTAAATTTTTTCCCCAAACGCTGTATTTTGACACATTTCCTCTTTTAACTGTTTCCTTAACATTTTTTTTTCTCCATCGTAAACCTGGCTTACCCTTAAGGGAAATGTGCCTGAGGGACACTCAGATGGCCTCTGCTGGTGCCACAGGCTGCTGAAGCTTGGCTGGAGAGGGCCGAGGACACAGACTTTGAGGACTGTCCAGAGGGTGGTGGAAGCAGGGTGGCTGGTTCTCTGTCCTTGGCTGCATACCTTTGTTGAAGGTAGTCATGGTTACACTGGGGCCTAGAGCTTTTCCCAGAGGGCACCCCACCCCACCCATATGTACTTGCAGAAATTCACCTTCCTTTTTCTGTGGAGAAAATCAGTCATTGCTGTTTCTGCTGCTCTGATGCGCCATTCTGACTGTGACTCTTCCCAGAAAGCTTGCGCATGCCCCTCAGTGGGACGAGGAGAGATTCAGGTGGGACTTTTGTAGGTTGTAGAGTTGACTTCTGTGTCTCTTGGCAGGAATGAACACAGAGAAGCCACTCGGTATGGGGGTGGCCAGCTGTGTCTATAGGCTTGAGCTCTGTTTTTTGATTAGACTCTGCTGCAGTCTACTCCCCACAGGCTGAGGGACCAGCCTCAGACTCCTCTAATGATCTGACAGAAATGACATAATGTTCCTCTCAAAGGATTTGGACTTTTTTTTAATACAATAGGCAGGCGTCACTGTTGAGCCCTATTTGAACAAAGAACTGTAAGACATTCAGCTCCTCTGAAAGGTGGACAATTTTCTCCTCTTGACAAAAATTTCAGTTAAATGTATGGTGGTGTGAGCGGAGGTCCCACCCAGATGTGAGGCCTGTGATGGGCCTGGAAGATGTGGGCAGTGTTGGGGCCCCTAGCTGATCGATCTGTTTGCCATCATGCCAATACCATGGGTAGCGGGACTGATAGATGAGGAACCCTGGGACGGGAAATCCCTTGACTTCCAGGGACCACAGGAAAGAGCTGTCTGCAGGAAGTGTGTGGGCTGCAGAGCCAGGTGACGGGCTCAGGCCCAGCACCTCTTTAATTCTCCTACACTTCCCCTGCTTTCTCCCCATTTAACTTTATATTCTAAAATTTTAAAGAATATAAAATTTAAGTCCTTATACTTATTACCTAGACTCAACAGTTGCAACAAGTTTGCATCTTTGCTTTCTCTGTACAGATATTTTCAATCATTTGGAAGTTAGTAACTTCCTGAGCCTTTGTGCTAATTCTGCATGCGTCCCCTGAACATACGGACATTATCTTTACCTCAGTAGAAGGATTCTAAAGAACAACAATTTCTTTAATAAGGAAAAAAAAACAAGGGTCTTTAGTTTATAGGGTTGCTATGAATCGTCTATGACTCAACAGCACTTAACAGCAACAAGAAAAAAAACATGTCCAGTTCATACCTACATTTCCTGAGTTATCCTCAAAATATATCTTTAAAGCAAATCATTCTTTTTTTTATTATTATTAAATTTTATTAGATTTTTTAAAAATATTTTTTTTAATTGGGAAAAACATATTGGGGGTACAAGGAGATGAGGGTTGGGGGCAGAAGGGTGAGGATGGGCCAGGATGCAGTTGCAGAGCTGCACAGTTTGGTCGGTGGGGGGAGCAGGTGAAGGAAATGATGAGGGTCCAGTGGGGACCAGATGCTACAGAGGAATGACAAGCATTTTCCAATAGTAATTAAACCAACTGTCTTATTGATTTGGGAATTGGATGCCGACTCTCTGGCTTCTTCATGCTGAACAGGGACATAGATATAAAGGGGGGAAGGGAGGACGCTTTATCACCTTACTGGTGGTCTTGGGTTACAGCTGCTTGCCTTCTTGCTCCTGAGGGCTGCGACGGTTCGCCCCGAGCCAGGGGCCAAGCGCAGCCCGCCCCGGGCAGAAGGCCACAACGGCTCGCCCCGGGTAGAGGGCCGCGACGGCCTGCCCCGGGCAGAGGGCCGAGGGCAGCCCGCCCTGGGCAGAGGGCTGCGACGGCTCGCCCCGGGCAGGGGGCCGAGGGCAGCCTGCCCCGGGCAGAGGGCCGCGACGGCTGAAGTAGTCTTTTTTTAAAAAAGAAGAACTGTGTGTGTGTGTACCGTCAAATTGGATCTGACTGGTACAGGAGACTGCCCCTCCTTCTCCAGCAGAGCATGAAGTAGAGTCTGGGTTCCCCCCCCCCCCAGGTGCCTGTCGGGGCCTGGGTTTCAACTGTCCACACCACAGCAGTGGGCAATGAGCTTAAAGCCCCTGATGGCTCTGGGCGCTGACTCTCACCAGTGAATATGGATGAAGTCACTAAAGCAAACCATTCTTTGATGAATATTTAAGTGATCTTCAGTTATTTGCTATGACTGGTTATGGTACAGTTATGGTCTGTGTACACATCTTTTCGAAGATCTATGGGTAATCTCTTTTTTTCACCAATTTTTCTCAATTTTATTATTTTTTTGTGTGTGTACCATCAAATCAGATCCGACTGGTACAGCCGATTGCCCCTCCTTCTCCAGCAGAGCATCTGGTGGCTTAGAACCATGTGCCTCTGGGATTGCAGCGCAGCTTCTTGCCACTAGGCCACCAGAGCTCCCTGTAATTTTTTTTTAAAATTGGTATAAAATATGTTGTAAGTTGCTGTCAGGTTGATTATGACTCATAGCGACCCTATGAACAGCAGATCTGAACCCTGCCCTGCTCTGTGCCGTCCTCATCATCTCTGGCACACGGGAGCCCATTGCTGCAGTCACTGTGCTGATCCGTTTTGTTGAAAGTCTTCTCTTTAGCTGACCCTCCACCTTTCCAAGCATGATGTCCTTCTCCAAGGAACAGCCTCTCCTAACAATATGCCCTAAGTACGTTCATCATCCTTATCCTTCTGACAATTCTAGAGTTTGCTGTAGCCCTTATTCAAACATACATAGTCATGCTTTTAGTCCTTTTAGTCCACCTACATGAAGGATTCTGAGCTTCATCTAACATACTTTGGACATGTAAGGAGAGACAGGTCCTTGGAGAAGGACATCATGCTTGGGAGGGTGGAGGGACAGCGCAGGAGGGGAAGACCCTCTATGAGGCGGATTGATTCAGTGACTGGGGTAATCGGGATGGGAGTGTCAGAGACAGTGAGATTGGCACAGAACAGAGCAGGGTTTAGGGCTGTTGTATGTAGGGTTGCTATGAGTCGCAAGCGATTCAACGGCACATAACAACATACCTACATGACAATATCCAGTGGTCCACCACACTCATGTGTGTTCTTACAAGCCATTGGGTCGACTATGACTCATAGTGACTCTGTGAACAATAGCTCTGAACCCTGCCCAATCTTGAGCCAATCTCGCTGACACACCTGTCCCCATTACCACAATCACTGTGTCAATCCATCTCATCCAGAGTCTTTCTCTCCTGCTCTGTCCCTCTCTCCTTCCAAGCAAAATGCTCTTCTCCAAGAACTGGGCCTGTCAATTTACTCAAAGTATGTGAGACTGACTTTCAAAATCCTTGCCTGCATGGAGCAAACGGGCTTTCTCCTTTCCAGGTCAGACCTTTTTTTTCTCTTGGCAGTCCATGTTCAATACTCTTCTCCAGCTCAAAGATATCTGTTCTTCTGCCATCCTTACTCTTCGTCCAGCTGTGATGCATAGGGTTGCTCTGAGTCATACTTGACTTGTGAGCACCTAAAAACAACACCTATCATCCGTTCATCTGTCCATCCATCCATCCATCCATCCATCCATCCATCCATCCATCCATCCCTGTATCTCAAGGTACGTAGTTCTTGGTTCCCCACCATCGCAGGGTGAGCCACATTCTTGAGTGAAGCTGCAGGTGTGGGTCAGACGTCTGTCTCTGAGGGCCAGGGGGGCAGAGGCGAGTGATTATCAACACCACCGCTCGCACTTCCTGCAGGCTGGTTGAGGTCTGGGACCAGCTGAGCTGAGCATGCGTGGTAGATAGATGCTTTCGCAGCTCATACACGCGAGGTACTGTCAAGTCCTAGACAGCAGCACTCTGAAAATCGCCCATGCAGCTCGGACCTCTGGAAGGAGCAGGGAGTCTGGAAGCCCAGTTGCTTGCTCTCCTGGCTGAGACCCCGAGTGGGAGTAGTGCAGGTGTATGTGTGGGGTTCAGGCCGACTGCATCCCCTCCCCTCCCATTTCCAGATGCTTCCACAGTTGCCTCATCTATACCCCCCTTCGAGCAGGGAGGCAGCCTGCCTGCTCTTTGGACTCTGTCAGCCGGAGTTTTGAGGGGCTGCACATTTCCCACCAGGGCTGATCCGCGGGATGACGCCTGATGTAGACCCCGGAGCTGCCTCACCCCACACTGCTCCGTGAATCAAAGACCTTACAAGGGGCCTGTCACTCAAGTCCGGTGTATTCTGAGTGCTGGAGAGAAGGTGACTGTAAAGGAGCTGGTCACGTCACCCCTGACAGCGCTCCTGCGGGGTGCACTGAACAGACCCTCCCCTGTGCACGCGGCATGCCACGCCCTGCCCCGTGCCCGCCCCTGCGGCGCTCCTAGTGAATATA